AAAATAAAAATCAAGCTAACTAAAACCAAAGATAAAAAAGAAAAGAAGAAAATGTTTTCCTTTAAATATTCCAAACATCTGGGCTTTGCAGGATAGCTCAGTTATTTGAAATGTTGCTTGGGCAAATGCAGTCAGGCACATAGGACCGCAGTTCGATTCCCAACTCCAGAAGCTGCACCAGACCTGCCCTGAAGGCACCTGGAAGTAACCAACAACAACAAAAAAAAAAGTAAATATTTCAAACATCAGGACTCCACTACACCTAAGGAAGTTAGTTGGTTGTCTACCATTGTCATTTTGTTCTTTTTTAAGCGTTTCTTTATCAACTATATTGTTATTAAAATTATGGGTACTTGTTTCCTATAATTTGCTTTTCCATTCTTCCTTTCTCCCTGAGTTGGTATTTCACGTGTTTGCCTATCCTTTAGTCAAGGTGTCTGTCTTGATTACTGTTCTCTCATTGCTGAGACAAAATACCTGACACCCAGAGTTAAAGGGGAGTTTTATTTAGCTCACAGTTTATAGAGGTTTCAGTCCATGATCAGCTGGCTTAAAGTCAGGGTGGTGTAGTAGAGGGGCAGCAGAAGACAGCAAAAGAACAAGAGCAAAAGGGGGAAAGCAAGCCTCTTTTCTTTCCTTCTATTGTATGCAGGCTACCAACTCTAGGGCAAGTGTAGAACTCACACACTTAATCCCAGGACTAGACAGTGAAACAGTCACAAATGCTAGATTCAGCCACCTCTGAAAAGCCCACACCCCATGACCACATGAGGCTTTGAGGGGACGTCTAGACACAAACGATATTATCATTCCTTCTAGACCAAGTCCAACACTGACCTCTGATTTCTTAAAAGCTTAAGATAGGACCTAGAACTGTCTTCTTCATTGTTATATTCTCAGTTCCTAGGATAAGTGTCACCATCCAGTAATGCTTAATGAAATTTTTGTTAAGATTTATTTTTAAGTTGGTGTCTCCATTTCTATTCCAACTCTTTGGAGATTTTTTGTTGCTCACTTTTTCTTTTGTAGTTACTTACTGTAGGCTACTGGCTCTAGTCTCCCATTTAGTAGTCTACCATTTAGACATGATTTTTTTAATTTCTAAAGGAAAGTTTCTATCATTATCCTTTCTTATGAAGTATCCTTTGTTCAGTTCAGATTAGACATTTTTTGATACTTACTGTAAACCTGACCTTTGCTAGACACTGAGAATACAGAAATGAATTAGATACGTCACTTTCCTGTAAAGCTTAAACTGTGGCGAGGGAGAGGGACTGCAAACAGATAACTGGAATAGAATATAGTCTGTGTGCTGTTGGACGTTTGCGCTCAGGGTGCTGTGAGAACACAGAAGTGGGTGCTCTGGAAAGCTTCCTGGAGTAAGTGGTGCTATAGTGAAGTCTAGAAAGACAAAGAAGTTTTAGTTCTGTGAAAATTTGGAAAGAAGCATGTCCAGGGGAAGAGAACAAGGGTATGGAAGACAAGTGACAAAAGGTGGGAGGTTGGTAAGGGACCAACCTTAGAAGGTCTTTTGTGCCTGAATGACAGGAAACCACTGGAATATTTCAGGGAAAAAAAAAAAAATCTGTTATTTGCATTTTTATGTATTCTTTATTTTTTATTTATTTGTATTTTAGGGAAGGGTCTACAGGGTGTTCACGGTCTCACTACTAGATTGGACTTGTAGTGATCTGCCTGTTTACAGCTGTATTTTTATTTTAAAGAGCTCTACTGGGCCGGGGAGATGGCTCAGTAGAATAAGCACTTCCCTGGCAAGTGCAAGGGCCTGAGTTCAATCACCGAGTTCTGCAAAAGAAAAAAAGAGAGAGAGCTCTACTAATATAGGCTACATTAATAGGTACTAACTGAACCAAGCCTCTGTTAGATTTTCAAGGTCCTATCTGTTGAAAATTCAAGATCCTGTCTGCTTTTTAAGATACTCTTAGTCTTTGGTGTGCTGCACTTTCTTCATGATATGTCTAGTTGTAGATTTCTTTATATATTCCACTTAGAGTTTGTTGGGCTTGAGTTTGTGAAGTGGTTTCTTCATTGGTGAGGAAATTATCAGCACTTCGTTTCTGTGTAAATAAGCTCTAGTACCACTACCCTCTGACGCGTTTTAATCAGTGTGTTCCAAAACATGGAGAAATCTAAGGTTCCTAACAAGGGAGTAATAATGAAATCAAGCTGTTTGCATGGTGGAATGGTACCCAGTTGTATAAAGTGATTGTCAGTCATAATCTGGAAATGGCTTTTAACATAAGTTTAAAAGTCAATATTAGGGGCTGGTAAGATGGCTCAGTGGTCTAAAGCACCTACTCAGAACAAGCTTAGCAAAAACAAAGGGACCGTGGTTCAATCCCCCAGCACCACATGCCAGCCCGCCCCGCCCCCTGGTGGGCTGAGCTGGCCACACACACACACACACACACACACACACATACAAATAAATAAATAATTTTTTAAAAAAGTCAATATTAGTAGTATGATCACAAATAATTACAAAGAGAAAGATTTAGGAGGATTTAGAGAAAGATTTAGTTAAAATAGAGAAATAACTCTCAACCACAGTAATGTAGAATGTTTCAAAACAAATTCACTTAATCTCCTACCTTAGACTAAATTCAAAGCTGTTGCTCTAATATCACTTCAAAAAAAAAAAGTTTAGTAAGTATTTTGTGAGGGAGAAAAAGGATTAACAAAGGTGTCACCTGGTGTTGAGTCTAGGAGCACACTACACGTTGTCAGGGCCAGTAGGCTCTTAGGGATGTGAATTAGCCTTAGTCTTCTCTGTGTTACTATGAAGACTGTTTGAAGAGGTAGATGACATGCTCTTGAGGGAGAAGCACACAGTGGATGCTGCCAGAGCCACTGCAGTGGTGGGCTTGAGTACCTGCATTGTCACTGCCTCCCCCAGACACCCATCGTCCACCAGGCCTGGCAGAGACAGAATTAGGTAAGCAAGGTATTAGAATAGCAGATCTTTCCTATGATAATTTCTGGGTTAACTGGTTGATTTTTTTTTTTCATTTTACAGATAAAGAGGGTGGATATTTGTGTATAATTATATTTTTCCTTTCTTCTATCTAACAAGAAAATTTAGATGTCTGTTTTGCTTGGCCAATTTAAACAAGCCTTCTCTAAATATTCCAATTTGGGGAAATGTTCATATGTTGTTAATTTTAGGAAAGTAATCATGAAATAACTTTGCTCACTGAGGAGGAAGTACATTTAGATGGTACTCTGACCAAAGCAGGCATATTGGGGATAAGGAATGCACTGTCAACTTGTTTCACAACTTGAAGATTTGATGAATAATAGTAACTCAAGTGGTTGGATTATAAAAGTTCATTTCAGGTAGTTCAGGGACTATGTGTGAAATTTCTTAGCATTCTATAACAAAACTAGAGTTATTTCTCAGACATCTTGTTTTCTTTATCATACAGGCTATGTAAT